AAATATCACTGTCTGGCTCTTTACAGAAAAAGCTTATCACCCTTTATTCTAAAATATGTCTAAAATGTAGTAGAATGTCTTATATATAGTCAACAACCATCACATTAAGAATGTAAATGTCCGCAACATTAATTACTCAGCAATTAATATGGTTTCAACATTCCTTTTTGTTTTTGAAATGTGGCTTTGTTTGTTTGTTTGAAATCACTGAGAACATCTGAGACATATCCCCTTTGTTGCTGGCTTTTCAAAACCTCTACAGAAGCTTCTGACATTCTACCCATTGTATTGTAACTTGGCACTTTGCCCTCACATATTTTATTGAAAACGTTGCATTAAATTTTGGAGGGTGTCATAGAATTTTTTTAATAAGCAATAGCCAAAACTGTTTGGTACCGGTTGAGTGGCGGGTTGGTTAAGAGTTGGCTTGGGACGCCAGCTCAGCATCAGGGCCCTGGTTCGGATCCCACATGAGGGCCAGTGTCGCTGCGCCCTCTACAGCTAAGATGGTGAACAACAGCTCCACCTGAAGCTGGGCTGCAGTGGGGCTGGCCGGCAGCAGGCGTGAGCTGCAGTGAGCTGCAGTGAGCTGCCATCCAATGGCTGGTGAGCGAATGCCTCACCTGGGAAGAGTGCGATGATAATACCAACATGGGCCAGTGAAGCGATGTCCTCCACAACTAGACTGAAGAACCAAAGGACAGCAACTTGTCTGTTCCCCTCCCCCAACTCCCCAATAAAATCTTAAAAAAAAAAAAGTTTGATTTAGAAATAAGCATTTTCTGTAAAATTTGGGTATTAAAAGCCAAGAGGCATTCAACTAGGAAAATGTCAGCTGGATAGACATTTTGTGGCATTTGCTGGTATTTCACTTATTAGAGGCTCAGTATTCTCATCTATAAAAGGGGATTTAGACCCCCTCATAGGGCAATGCAGAGATTAAGTAAGGAAAGATGCAACTCACATACTTTGGGCATACTTTGGCTGTCGACCCCTTTTTCTTTTCTACCCTTAGCTTAGAGGAGCAAATAATCACAACTATAAAATCTTAAGGAATTTTTCCAAATTTCTAGTGCTTCTGCTTATGTACGGTGGCCCAAAAATTCAAATATAACTTTGGAGCCAGGGAGAATTTAGAAAGGTCTGTGTATTGGATAAGAGATACTGGCAATTGTAACAAACATTCCTGACTCTCAGAGGCTTAACTCAGTGCAGGTCTATTTCTTCGGCACCTCATCATCTGGGGATGGCTGGTGGGGAACAGGAGTAATGGGTCTGCTCCATGTGGCGTTTCAGGGACCTTGGCTTGTTTCATCGAGTGACTGTACCATCTGCAGGAATGATAGTTATCCACTAGACCTCTGGGCCTGCAGTCCAGGGGACAGAGAGGGCATTAGGGATGGTTTGGGAAGGGCTCAGGGTCAGAATGAAAGTAACATACCCACCTCTGTGTATTTGGCCAGAAGTCAGTTACAAGGCTCCACCTACCTGCAGTGATGCTGGGAAATACATGTGCCCAGGAAAAAGAAATGGATTTGACGGGCCACATGCTGACCGTATTTTTTTTTTATTATGATGGAGGACAAATGCTTACCATATATAAATTGCACAGATATGCCAATAATCTGAGAACTTGTGTGTAACAGGTATCCATGGAAATAGCAGTATTTGGAGACAATAATGCTGGGTTGGGACAATTAATCTGTGTACTTGTATAAATATACTTTAAAAGTTAGCCTGAGACCTGAATCTTCCTCCCACATGTTGTGTGCAATTTACATATGTTGGCATTCTAAAATCATAGACTTATTATAGGGTAAGTTTAGAAATACATACTTGAGAAATGTTGCTTGCAATTACATTTTCATTCCCAAAGTGGTCTTTGTGGACTCATATTTATTTTTCTGTTCTTTAAAATCAGAAGTCATACACATTATTGAATAGAATTCTTTATCAATTATGGCAGATAGAACATTTGTTGAAATACTACCACTGTAATTCAATTCAAAGTGCACATTTTACAATAAAGCACATCAGGAGCTTTTTCAATTTTTCAAAACCTCTGGTAGATCTTAGCACACCTTTTCTAAAGTTATTTATTTTAAACTATCATTTTATGAGTATTTTAGGTTTATAATTACCATAAAATGAAGGGCAAAATTTTTCATATGCAAACAGAAATTTAATTTAAAGTAGAAAGAACTTGATTGCAAGGTTTAGTAGAGTAGAAATAAGATGTATAAGAGGATATTAAATAACATATTTTTAAAAACCCTTAGCAGTACAGTTTTATAATAGATTTGGAAAAAAACACAATTGCATCTAGTGATATTTGTGAAGATCATATTTGAGATAGTTTCATCAAAGATCAAACTTTTGTAAAATTGAAAAACACATTAAAGCAAATAAACCTTTTGGTCATTTCATGCAAAAACTAACTTTAGAAGACCTTTATTCAGTGTCGTAAAGTTAGGGAAGTTTATTTCAGATGAAGTTGCTCTTGACCACACTGTGATCCAGTAGCCTTGCTCAAAAGTCAAGATTGTACAAGAACATATGTGATTAAAAATATTGCTTTCACTTTTCTTAGTATTCATGACATTTCCTACTACCTTTCCTGTCACTCCTTGACGATATTTGAGGCAAAAAACAAGTTGAGTTGACAAGGATGGTTTTCAAGTCATCTGTTCCTTATTTTTCTCCAGTGTTCTTTGTTATTTAGAATTCAAACTTACTATTCATGAAACATATTTTAATCAGTGACCATATCAGACAAACGGAAGCTAAGCACTGGTTAGTATGTTAAAAATAAACACTAGCGTTCTCATTAATGTGGCTGTCTAAATAATTAGTTGAGCATCGTGTACTGAGCAGCAGCGAAAGCCAGTTGGCTTCTCACTGAAACGACAGGCTGACAGCCACATCTTGGTGTATGGTCATTAGGGTGCCCCACCATCAATGTCATGTTACTGTGTCAAATTAGTTGGTGCCCCCTTAGGAGAGAAGCTGGATCTATAGATTATCGTCCTCCTGTATTCCACATCCGTGGAAACCATATTTGTGAAACCTGTGACCAAGTGTGAGTAAATTATTAACATAGCTCATAAATTAACTAGTTTACAGGCGTATAACATTTTACAAGTAGATAATCAAGGGTAGAAAAGTTTTCCAATTGCTTTGTGCTGATGTTGGGGCTGTGATCTACTGACTTTTCCTTGAGCTCACAGCTGATTGTTTTTTGTTAAGAGGAGCAAAAACATGGCGTGTAAGAACAAATGTTTGGAAAATATAGACTCTGAAAGGAAGCCAGTGTAAATCCATTGAAAGCAATATAATTATTTTGTTACCTCATTGCTCTGATAAGTCTATGACAATGGTCCTCTTTCTTGTGGTGGCAGTTGCTCATTAATGAGTTCACCAATTAAGTTTGATCGAGTACAACCTTTGCCAACTGAAATTATCTTTAAAAGTATTTTTGATGCATTCTTATCATACTCTTAAGCTGCTGTATTGAAGAGGAGTAATCCTAACACAGCATGTTAAACTCGTAAGGATGAAGATTCTTAATCCATAATATATTTGGCAAACAGTTGACACTCATATAGACAACTGATACCTAGAATACATAGTGTGGACCAATCTGGCCTGGGTTTATCTCTTATCAAGAAGAGGCACCCACCGGAGCACCACCTCTTAACCCTCTTCTGAGCTCTGGTAGACAGACAACCCACATAGTTTCCGGAGGTACGTGACTATTCAAATCATAAAACTTCATACATCTCTTTTTCGGTTTCAACTTCTCTGTCTGATTAGATTAGAAAACACGTACGTTCATGGAGTTCTGTCTGCATTTACTGTTGAAAGAGAACACACACCCCCACACTGAAGAGTTCATGCTTTCTACTCATTCTGCAGTTCCTTTTCCCCATATGACAGAGTCCCTTCTGTCATCTCGAGCGCTGTTCAGGTAGCATTATCATCCAAAGATCTAGGGAGAAGAGGCCTGGCATGCAAAACCTTGTACTGGCTGCTGTTCACAAAAACTTTCTGAAACTATTTGAGGATGACTTGACCCAACAGTCAGCAACTTCAGCTTACTTGGAATTGGGTTTGTTAAATATTCTCATAGCCCCGCTAAGCCACGAAGCGTGTGGTCTCAGCATGTGAACCCACACTCAGGTTGGCTGTTGCCATGAGAAGGCTGTGTCACGACTTCCTTCTGTATTTTAAGTCTAACTGGAAAAGGAAATGTAAGCTGTGGCAGGTGGGATTTTGTGCGTGGCCATGTGTGTGCATGTGTGTGTATTTCCTCCCATCACTTCTACCGAGTAAGACTAAAAGACCAAAACCCAAAGCAAAATCATCATTTGGATTCATGGATCATCTTGTCCTATTGCTCTGGATGAGATAATATTGTAATTATGATAATTTATCCTAAAAAGTAAGAAATGGTGGACCTTAAAGGAACCAGACTTTCTAAGTGGGTGACATTGCCTTCAAGACTGGCAGGCAGTTTTACTTGGCTGTATAACATTTTTCATCCTTCTGCTATCATTCTGTAATACCGAACTCAGGTTATGAGCTGAAGAAATCCTTATCCTAGCAGGGAAAGGACAAATTAGATGCTTAGGTATGTCTATTACGTATACACAGAATGTATGTATTATACATATTACATAAATGTAGTATATGTATATACCGGGGTTGCCAAAAAGTGTATACAGTGGACACTTTGGTCAGCGTTGCCCAAGCAGTAGTTCGTCATAATCAGAAGTGTCTGGACGCTGATGGTAACCACTTTGAGCACCTTTTGTAACTGCAAAAGTCAAACGTGACTTCTATTTATCTTTTGCTATCGGTATACATTGAGAATTACAATTAATACAGTTTTGTCCTTTCTTAAAATGTACACATGTTTTGGCACCCTCCATGTATACACAAATTGTGAAGTATCACAGTTTGCCTATTCATTTAGCATCTGCTTTTCTTTTTGCTTTCAGTGTCCTTCGGTGTGTCGCAGTCCTATGGCATTATGCATGCCCCCAACCAGTGACCCCCAGGCTTTTTATGGCTGTGAGACATATTGAAAGGTAAGAGGCAAACAGCACTAATATTGTGTACCACTGAGAATCGCCATCCATTACTACATCCACAGTAGTGGATATGGTAGTCACTAGGAAGATATTATCAAGCATGAATTCCAAAGCTAGCAGGTTTGTTGCACTCCGTGACAGCTTTATGGCTTTCATGAGTATGGTCCATAATGTGGATCATATTTGTGGAAATCTGATCTAATGCAGGGTTGGCACACTTTGTCTATAAAGGGCCAGATAGTAAGTATTTTCAACCTTCTGGGCCAGGAAGTCTCTGTAGCAAAGTAGCCATAGACAATGCATAAATAAATGGGCATGACTGTTCCAATAAAACTTTATTTACAAAAACAGGCAGTGGACCATATTTGGCCCGAAGGCTGTAGTTGGATGACCTTTGATCTAATGCATCGAAAGGGGACAAATGACATGTAAACAGGATATCTCACCAGGTATCAGTCCCTCTAAGGTTGAACAAACCATGTATCAAGAAGTGGGAGTAAAAAAATACCTGCCGTTAGCACTGCACAAGGTATAAGTATGGTAAGAATGAAATAAGTTATAATGTATGTGAAAGCACTTTGAAAATTTCGAAACTCCTTAAAAAGGTAATGGATGGCTCTGCACAGTCATTCTGGTTCACCTCATGGAGTGCTACTTCACCTCTTTAATCACATTGGCCTTTCGTGAGCTAAATGAGCGTGGGGGAAAGCTCTTTTATTTTCTGAGTAATGTGGTTTGTCTGTGCGTTCCTTCTATTTTACAGTTGTTGGACAAGCTGTTGAAATGTCTTTTTAGTATCAAATATGGATGAAGGGATCAACGGGTAGATGTTGGCAGGCTAAAGATCAAATGCCAGTGAAGAACGATTACATTTCCTTTAATCATCAGAATCTGAGAGTGTTTTAAGATGTTGACCTTTACTATAGGCCTTAACAAATAATAACACTTTGGGTGTCTACAAGCATGTTTGAATTTGCAAGTCTTGCATGTCAAAACATTGAGACAGGCTCAGCAGATACGCTCCTGGACCAGCGGTAATAGTGAAGAAGCAGACCGCACTTAAAGAGCTTGGAGAACAGAGGGGTGATCAGAATCCCAGTTCATGAATTTTCTAGGCTTTGTTTTTCTCACAAAAATACTAAGTAATGTAGTGTTTAGATATGTTTTCATATTATTATATCATTTAAGAATTGTGTTCTGGTAACAGAGATACTATATTAGTTTAAAAAATTAGTTGTGTATTTTCTCTCATGAAAGATACCTGGGAGAGAGCAGTTTGTGCCTTCTCTCTCTGTTACTCTCACCTGTTCAAGTGTCGCTTCATTTTCAAGGTCACATTTAGGCTGCTTGCTCTCCAGCCATTGCCTCTCTATCCTGAAAGAAAGCAGCAGGTGTACAAGAGACAGAGAGTTGTCCTCCCAGTTGAGGCAGACCTCTTTAAAGAACTTTCCCTGAAGTCGTACTCCAGGACTTCTATGATATGCTTTTCACCACCCCTAACGTAAGAGCATCTGGGAAATGTATCCTGAGATGTGAGAAATTTGATGTCCCAGATAAATTTTGGGTTCTAGTAGTAATGAAGGAAGGGGGCTGGTTACTGAGCAACAGTTGTGGTTACTTACACAAAATCACGATATTAATTTTTCTTACATGTTTAATTTTTATTCCTTTTCAATGAAATGCCTTCTGTCTCCTACTGACTTGTGTATGTTATCTTATTTGCATTTTATGTGTTAGAATTTCAACTTATTCAATTCTCAGCAGAGATACATATCTCACTAAATATTTTAGGACCATAATATTCTTACTGAAAGTGCTGTGGCAAATCTGTGAAATAAATTTCTTTCTCAAGAGAGCTATCAACCAAAATTTAAACTCCCAAATTTTCTATTGGATTTTCTGTCCTCTGGATATAAGCTTTTGTTAAAGCCTGAACTACCAGCATGAGGTCCTAGAGACATGCAGGCTCACACCCAGTTTGTTCTACCCTGTATGTGAAGGGGAATTCACTGATGGCTTTGCACTGTCCCTAGAAGACTGGACAGAGCTCTCACTCTGTACCTCTGTGACTTCCCACATCCCTCCTAAAAGCTTACCTTGGAAGATGAGGGAGACAGTGAGTCACCCCTGTCCAATCTCGCTATTCCAGATTGACCCAACTGTTGTTAATCTTGTGAAAATTTCCATCTCCTAGAAAGAGTAGAATGAGACTTCCTCATGCTTCAAAATATAATATTGGATTGTTGGAAAAGTCATGATGTATTTTGTCTATGTTTTTCAAAGGTCATTTATTTATATAAAGAACAAAGATCAATCGACGATGTATTGCCCGTTTTGTTCGATAACCTTTTGCCATCTTTCAGCGAGCTTCATAATTCCTCATTCATAGAAGGACCTGTCTTTATTTGCAAAAAACTGAACAAGGTGCTGACTTACAGCCTCATCTGAATTGAATGTTATACCACACAAGAAGTTTTGAAGAGAGCGAAACAAGTGGAAGTCAGACGGCACAAGGTCAGGCGAGTATGGTGGGTGTGGCAACACATCCCATCCAAGCTCCAATAATTTTTGACGGGTGATCAAACTTGTGTGTAGTCTCGTGTTGTCACGATGGAACACAACTCCTTTACAATTAACAAGCTCTGGACGTTTCTGGATGATGGATTCATTCAAACTGTCCAATTGCCGACAGTACACATTCGAATTCATGGTTTGGTTCATTGGTAGGAGCTCAAAAAACACGACACCTTTAAAATCCCACCACACTGAGAGCATAACCTTCCTCTGATGAATGTCTGCTTTCGATGTCGTTAGAGGCGAATCATCACGTCGGGACCAAGACCATTTGCGCACCACATTGTTGTAAACAATCCACTTCTCATCACCAGTTATCAGTCGCTTCAAAAAAGGATCACTTTCCTTACGTTTAATGAGCATATTGCAGATGTTTATACGCACCCTCAAATGAACTTCTTTGAGTTCATGCGGAACCCAAATATCGAGCTTGCTTACGTATCCCAGCTTCTTCAGATGGTTGTGAATGCTTGAATGATGGATGTTCAATGTTTCTGCAATCTCTCGTGTCATGTTACGTGGGTTTGACGCGATCAGTGCCTCTATTTTGTCGTCATCAACTTTGGTGGGCCTCCCTGACCGAGGAGCGTCGTTGAGATCAAAATCACCAGCACGGAATTTCGTGAACCATCGTTGGTACTGACGTATTTGTAGAGCATTGTCACCGTAAACTTTGTGCAACTTTTCACAAGCTTGATGCGCGTTCTTCCCTTTGTGGAAGTAAAACAGTAAAATATGGCAAAATGCACAGTTTGGTCTTCCATCTTCAACTTGTTGTAAAATCTCCAAAACTCAACCAAATCGCTCAATTTATTTTTAGAATTAAGCTAGAACTGTCAGCTGTCAAATGACATAGCAATAACATAGATGTGAATGACTCTAGTACTTCCAAAAATGAACTAGTGCCATCTGTTGCAAACATGCATCATGACTTTTCCGACAATCCAGTATCTTCTCTGCCTATACCAGCTTGTGATTGATGCTCATGAAACATGGTAGTTGATGCATTCACAGACATTTATTGAATGCCTGCTATATCCATGTATGGTTAAGAGTGAGTGCTTTGAAGTTAGAGCAACCTGGATTCAAATTCTTTGTACTTACTGGCTGAGTGACCCTGGGCAACTTACTTAACCTTTCTGGGCCACACCCTCCTTATCTAAGAAACAGCCATAAAAATAGGAGCCAGCGCCATGTGAAGAGTTAGTGAGATGATGCTTGCAAAGAGCTTAGCACAGATCCTGGTGGGCAGTGGACGCCAGCGTGTGCCCCCCAGCCCAGGTCATGTGGTGGAAATCCCTGTCTTAGGAGTTTGAACCATCCTGTAGCTGATTCAGTGGTTGTGTTCTGGTAGATGACATGTTTCACAGTCCTGCTTCTCTTCTGATATTACCTCTATTTAAGTAGAGCTTTGGGAAGAGGCTTTGATGCTCCTTCAAGGAGACTGCAGTGGTGTACACAACTGGACAGCCCTGTTAAAAGAACTTGGATCTCTGGGTCCCTTTTTGACAATTTCCCCCGAGAGGCATGCAGTTCTTTTTTTATTTCTGTTTTTTTACTTACTCAGACAATGAGCCTGCCTAGCAAGCAGAATTCACTAACTGCTTTCAAGTCTGTACTGCTGATGATAATCTGAAACTCGGTAGAGTCTCACTTGTGCAGGCTGATGCTATATGATGTTGATCTCCCTGCCTCATCCCAGTTCCTGCCTCTGTGCTGAGTCTGCAAAGCAGGCCCTGGTCCGCCCCCCCCCTCCCCAGATCTTGTTGGGAAGGGCCCCGAAGACACATGTCATCTGCACACAGAAGCCGCTGCATGACTACAGCAGAGGTTGTCAGCAGTGCCCATGGATGGCCTAGATGGCCGTGTGTCCCAAAAATTGAGAAGTGGCAGCAACCACATGACCAGCCCGTCTGTGGAGTTTCTGAGCACTGTGGGATATAGATAGGTTAAGTTTCATCCGCTACTTACAGGAGCAGTGGTTTCATTAACTGTGACCTTGTATCACAGGGTTGGTAGGCTTGGGGGTTCTGCCTCCCAGACTCCGCTAGTACCCATCGAGCCTGTTAACAGAACTTCGTTATCTGGGTCCCATGTTGACAATTGAAAAGAGTTGACTCTTTGGAGATAGTGACTTGAAGATCTTACCTGTTCAAAAGACTGAGAAACTTTGGGCTTTTGCTGTATGGTTTCAAATATTTTATTTAGATGCCATGTCCACACTCAGATAATGTCAAACCTTTCTTGCCTCTGGACCATGGTATTCTCTGCCTGGAACAATGCCTGGGTTCCACAGGGCTCACTCCTCTGCCCTGAGTGCTTAATTCAAATATCTGCTTCTTGGCGAAGCCCTCCACCCATGTTAAATGAGATTTCCCTTCACTATTCTCCATCCAAGTCTCTTGTTTTTTTTCCATTTATTG